GGGGGGGGGGAGGTCAGGTATCACAATGGTCTGGTCCAGGCCCTGGGCCACGAAGAATGGAATGTGCTAGGAAGCATCTAGGGAAGGGCTTAGAGAAAGCTTCAGAATGAGAGGGGATCACTATGGGAGAGAGATGGTTTCCCCCTAGGTTTACGAATTAGGGGGGAGGGTTAGACATTCAGAGCTGGTGGGGGCCATGAGTAGAGATTCTTATAAGTATATTGCTCAGTTGCCCCAAGGGCTGGAGAAGGGATGGGAGCTGGCCCCGCCCCTCATGGAGGCCATTCCCTGGAGGAGAACTGAGAGGGGAACCACCAAAGATCCCTTCCCAGGAGATGGGAAAACTACAATCTCACACAAAGCAGCCTGACCCCTGAGCTCCAGGGGCCCCCAAGTCCCTGCACAAGAGTGTGGAGGGACTCCCAAGGGGCAGGGAAGCCAGGGAGCTGGTAGTGGCGGGGGGTTCAGGGAGGGAGGCATCTGGTGAAAGGGGAGATCTGGGCCCAGAGCTCACCCCACATCTCCCTTCTGGGTTCTCTCAACCCCTGCCCTTTCCCCTTCTCCCTTAGGGGGGACTGGTGGAGGAAGAGGTGGGGGGGGTGGCGTTGGGGGAGTAGGGGGTGCTGCTTGAGGATTGACTGCGTAGCCAAAGACCCCTGGTAGGAAGGGAAGGGCCCCCCCTCCCTTCTCATCAGGTAGGACCATGTTAAGAGCAACCGGGAGAGCGGCCAAGTTGCTGAAGTTGTAAGGGTAGGCAGCAAGGAGCTGGGGGCCATAGACGAGTGGGTAGGGCTCGGGGTAGAAGGTGACTTTGGCAGCCCCCATCGCCTCCATCCGGTCTCCCTCCCCAGCCCCCACTGGCCCCTCACTCCCAGGTTTTCCCCTGCCACTGCCAGGTTCCCGGCCACTCCCAATTAGAGCCAGTGGAAATTCCTGCATAGGAGGGTATGCATAGGTGCCCGCTCCAGCCACCACTGGGGGCTCCTCACCCCCCGAGATGACAGGGTCCTGGAGTGAGGCGGTCTTGGAAGCTTCCTCAGCAGCAGCGCTCCCGCCACCTGCCTCCCCGCTGGATGAGGAGACTTGCATCTCTTGGGGGGCTTCCTCCTTGACATCCCCAGGTCTGGTGCCAGCGCTGCTCTTGGAATAGGCAATGACAGGTGTGGGGGTACCCCCGGGCCGCTCAGCAGCATGCCTCTGCCCGTGGCGGCTCAGGGCGGCTGCCGTCTTGCACACCTTGGCGCAGTGAGGGCAGGCAAAGCGGGTGGAAGGCCGACGTCCAGCCCGGGAGCCGTGGGAACCTCCACTGTGGGCCTCCTGGTGCTTTCGCAGCTTCCTCAGGGTGGCAAATGTCTGGGCACAGTCCCCGCAGCGGTGCCTCCGCTCACCACGGGCACGCCCTGCAGCGCCCTCGGCCGCGGGGGTCTCATCCCAGCTCCTCCGTTCCAGCTTCTGTCTCCAGCGTGGCGGCCGGCGGCCTCTGGGCATCCCGCTGCCCCCAGTGCTGCCTGTGCCTGCAGCTCCAGCCTTGCGCTTGGGCTTGTACGAGTAGTAGGGCCTCCAGAGCTGGTCCTCCCCACCAGCCTTTGATTCCTCCTCCTCCTCCTCCTCCTCCTCATCATCATCATCGTCTTCCTCTTCGTCCTCCTCCTCACTCTCCTCCACCTCCTCTCCGCTCAGCTCCCCAGGACGCAGGTCAGTTTCTGAGATGCGGCGCTTGACAATGGCCTCCTCACCGATTCGCACAGTGATCTGACACAGTGGAGGTGGGGCCTGTAGCTGAGAGGGGCCCCGGCCAGGGCCTGCAGGGGGACCCCCGCCCCCACCAATCCCACCAGCTGGCTTGGCCGTGTATGTCAGAGTCCTTCCAGCCCGTGGGTTCCGGCCCTTGGCCTCCTCTGTGGCTGTGGCGGGCCCTGCGGCTGTTGCTGGGCTGACTGCTGTGGCTACGCTTGCTGGTGTGGCTGCAGGCTCAGGGGGAGGAGGTGGGTACTCACGTTTTTTGGGAGGCCTTGGGGGAGCAGTGTAAGTGATGACCGAGGCGGCTTGGGCCCCCGCTGTGCTGGCTGGCCCACTCCCTGTTCCACCACTGCTACTGCCCCCATGAACAATGACAGATGGAGCTGGGTGGGCAAAAGTGATGACAGAGGGTGGAGGGCCAGGCTCTGGGGCAGGTGGGGGTCCAGGTGGTGGGCTGGCTGGCATTGCTGCAGGGGCCGGTGTGTTGAGGCTTGGAGAAAGGGGGGCTTCGGGGGCTCCCTGGCTGTAGGTCTTGTAGGGCCGCTTGGCTGCCCGCATGGGGAGCAGGCGGTACAGCTTGAGGGTATTGAGCTTGGGCTTATAGCCTCCATTGGGTGTCTTCTCACTGGCCAGGAGGCCCGGGCTAATGCCATGGAAGGCTCGCTGGTGGGTCTTCAGGTTATAATAAGTGACAAAGGTCTCCCAGCAGAAGATGCACTGGTACCTGGGCCAGGACAGCAGGGAACAGGGCAGGGACAGAGCCACTTGAGTCAGGCGCCATGAAGCCAGGGCCTCAGCTTCCCATGTCCTCTACTGCCCTCCACTCAGACCTATAACTGCCCCAGCCATTTGCTCACCCTCCTTTCATGCTGCTTGTCTCACCTTGCCAGCCTCAGGAGGGACCCCAGTCCTAGCTCACTGCCCCACTACCAGCTGTGAGACGCTAGGCCTCAGCTGTTCCATCTGTGAACTGGGAATAATCACATACCTCGCCTAACTCACAAACCTTTTTTTTTTTGTAGCTCAAATGACAGAATAGGGAAATGTCTTATGAACAAGGACACATTCTGGAAATACATATTATAACTATTAGTGGACATGCCTGCACTCTCCCTAGTCCTTTCCTATGAGGGCAACTTTCTCTTTCTTCCTCGGCCTTCTCCACACCACCAAGCCAGGACATGGCACCTAGAGGTGCTAATAAACATCAGCAGAACAAAGTGGGGCTGGAGGGAGGCAGATGGGTGAGTAATGGAGCAGGCCAGTCTCAGGATGATTTTCTAGGCCCCATTCTCTGCCCATTCCCTCCCTTGTCCATGTGGTCCCCGGGTGCTGACGCTTGACCGCTGCGCCCCCACCCACCCCCCAATCCCCGGCCCTCCAGGCCACTCACCTGCGTTCCCCGGTGTGCCACACCTCGTGCTTGGTGCGGTACTCAGCCAGGGCGAACACCTTCTCACAATAGCGGCAGGGGTACTTCCTCCGCCACGAGTGTACATTACTGTGCCGCTTCAGGCTGGACAGGGTCACGTAGGAACGTTCACAGGCCGCGCACACATATAGCACGTGGCCACCCACCACCTTCACCACGTGCTCTGGGCCACCATGGAAGCCCACTGGTGGGGGCAGGGCTGAGGCATCCACTCCTGCAGGACCACTGGGGCCAGAGCCGCCTGCTCCCAGCCCTGCAGACCCCCGAGTGCTGGCCCCCCGTCGGCACTGTGCCTCATGGGTCTGTAGCCGCTTGGGATGGATGAAGCTTTTCCCACATCGGGGGCAGGGGAGGGGCCGCCGGGGCAGGGGGGGCTGTGAGTCAGGAGCCTGGGCCTCAGCCCTGTCACTCTCCCATTCTCCAGCTGGCCTAGGCCCAGGCCCGAAGCTGTCCTCTTCAGGCTGTGAGGTGGCCATGGGGGCTGGGGCAGGAGGTACCCAGGCATCACCTCCCTCCCCCAGGCCCTGCAGGCGGGAGATGCCCAGACGCCGCCCCAGAGCTCCGATCTCTGCCACAGCTGCCCCGTCCCCTCCACCGCCAGGTAGTGCAAGCCGGGCACTGTAGATGAAATTGAGGACATCAGAGAAGGCGGCTGCTGGGACTCCTGGCAGCTCCAGGACCCGGGGTGGGGATGAAGCAGGGGGTGAGGCTGGAGGAGAAGAAGAGGAGGAGGAAGAAGAGGAGGAGGAGGAGGAGGAGGAAGAGGAAGAGGAGGAGGAAGAGGAAGAGGAGGAGGAGGAGGAAGAGGAGGAGGAGGAGGAGGAGGAGGCAGCTGTGGTGGTGGCAGGGTTGGGGGCTGAGCTCCCAGTAACTGGTGGGAGGGGCAGTGGGGCTGAAGCGAGCAGGGCCTCTCTGAAGAAGGGACTAGAAGCAGCCAGGACACTGCGGTGAGCAGGGAACTTGGTGTCTCCGGCTATGAGGGTGACGTCACAGAAGAGGCCACGGAGCCGCTGCTCATTGAGCTGGCGCAGGACGGCGGGGGCATGGGACGGATCCGTCACCTCTGCAGGGGGGGGCATGGCGCCAGCCTAGACGGAGAAGAGGCCAGGAGAGGGTCTCAGAGGCTGGGCAGAGGGCAGGGGCCTCTAAAACCAGGGAGGTGAGCTGGGAGGTGGTTGGAGGTTGTTGGTCAGAGACTAGAGGAAGGCTAACTTGTGGTCACAGAAGTCAGGGGTTAACCTTAGCCACCTACATCTGGCCAGCGGGGCTGAAAGAGGCCAGGGATACCTCAGGTCATGACGAAGGTCAAGGGGTCAGAACCTCCAAAGTCAGACTAGGGAGGTAAGCAATGGACACCTCTCTCCCATTGGAAGGAAGAGGAAGCCCCCACAACTACTGATGACCATTTCACAGGACTACCCAGCTTAGACAAAATGGCTGCCCTTGCTGGCCTGCTGCCTTTGGTCCAATTTCTCCTAGCTACAGACCTCTCGCACGGCACCGTCTCACCTGAGAGCACAGCCAACATGGAGTGGAGCGGGGGTGGCTCAGCGAGTCTCTTCTGCAGGGCCTCTTCCTTCTGTGGAAAAACAGAAACCATGACTTCAGGAAGGAAACTGGGAAGGGAAGGACCCCAGGAGGTGGGGGGTGGCACAGCACTTGGGGTCAGAGAGGATGCCGAGGCTGCTCTGCAGACCCCGACCCTCAGTCAGGTAATTTGCTTCGCTGCATCCAATCAGACCTAGGAGGTCACACAGATTATTGCAAGGCCTTGTCCTGCTGGCCCCAGAGAAGTACAGGAACAAGATAATTTGCATATTCTCAATGTACCTCAAAACAATACAGCAGCGTAGTTCGATCTCATAGGTCCAGGGAAGCCTGTTGGATCACTCTCAAGTCCCTTTGGCCCAATCTTTGGGGCTCAAAGGAAATGAAAGATTTGCATGTCGTCTTTCATTATAATAGTCTCATTTACATATCAAAATAGATTTGCTAGAGCTTTTTTATTGGACCAAGCTGCTAGATATTCAAATTAGGAGAGGACCTCCTCTCACACATGCCAGCCTCACAAAGCTTAGAGGAGGTTTCTGGTCTTGGTGCCAGGCGACCATCAAAGACCATGGATTCATATATACGTGCCAGCTTGCTCCAGTCTCTGAGGGCACTGGAAAGGCCACCAGACCAGGAGTGAGGAGGCTTGGGTCCCCTTCCTTACTCTGAGAGCTTGTGGATTTGAGACTGGCTTAAAAAGGAGGAGGGAACCCAACCCCTACCTCACCTCTTGCTGGGAGGCTCATCCAAAGGAATACCAGATAACCCAACAGTGAGCTGTGGCGGTCACGCACAGAAAGTCACTCACAGCTGCTTCTCCTGTGTGGGCACAGCCAGGGCTTTGGGGTCCCATTTTTCAGTTGAAGATCTGAGATCCAGATCCACAGAGTGACTTGGTCAGAGTCACACAGAGCTGGTAATAACAGGTCAGGGGGCCCTGTTCACAGAGCCAGGCCTGCTGACCTGAGAGCAGAGGTCTCAGCCCATCGTCCACCCTCCACAAGGTGTTGGAGCTCTCTCATTCCCAATGCCCTGGGTCACACATGTCCTCTGAGGTGTCCTGCATCAGGAGTTCCTCATACAATTCCCATCCCCCCAAAAATGCTCTTTTCCCATTTATTACTCATACTATCTGGACTAAAAGGCCTTCCCTCCACAGCCCATTTCATGTTCCCAAAAGACTGCTCTGACTCCTCTCCTGGAGAAGGAGGAGGTGATAAAGAGGGGTGATATTCAAAAGTTCTAATAGCCCTGACTGCCAGGCACACACCAGTACTGGGTCCAGTGTTACCTTGTCAGTTGTCAGATGGCAGATGGGTCGGGAATCCTGGGGAACCCCCCGTCGCCCCGGAACCCCCTCTCGCCCCTACTGCCCCATTTGTGGGCTGGTGTTCAGCTCTGGTTATAAAGTGAGGAAAGAGAGCAAGGCCTCCCACTCCCTTTCGTGATAGCCACTGGCCCACTGGGACCCCCAAGAGTCAGTGCTTTTCTTGCATCACCTCATTTGCTCCTCAGCACTTCCCCATTTTATTTATTTATTTATTTTTAAACAGTTTTTTTTATTTTACTTTATTTTTTTGTGTGAGGAAGATCAGCCCTGAGCTAACATCCATGCTAATCCTCCTCTTTTTGCTGAGGAAGACCAGCTCAGAGCTAACATCTATTGCCAATCCTCCTCCTTTTTTTTTTGCCCCCAAAGTCCCAGTAGATAGTTGTATGTCATAGTTGCACATCCTTCTAGTTGCTGTATGTGGGGCACGGCCTCAGCATGGCCGGAGAAGCGGTGCATCGGTGCGCGCCTGGGGTCCGAACCCAGGCCGCCAGTAGCGGAGCGTGCGCACTTAACCGCTAAGCCACGGGGCCAGCCCCAGCACTTCCCCATTTTACACTGACAGACCAAGGCTGAGAGATGCCAGACAGCTCGCCCAAGGATATACGACCAGTTAGTAGCAGGGCTGGGATGTGATCCCAGGAAGTTTGGCTCTAAAGCCTGTGTTCTTGACCATACCACATCAGGATAAAAGATATGTTTACAGCTGTGATGTTGCAATATAATAAGTATATATATTTGGTCTTCATCCCTGTTCCTGACACATAGCTCCTAAAACTCCTGTAATTTCCCAAGTGCTATCACTAGCATCCTCTGTTCTAATCTTTGGTCTTGGACCCTGGTTCCTAACACTAAGCTCCTAAATCCCTTGGAATTTCCTGGGTGATAGAAGCATCTTTTGTTCTAATGAGGTGACTCTGGATGGGCTCCTGGATAGCTTCAGGATGGGGGCTGGTCACCAGAAAGACCAAGCCATGATTAGAAGCTCGGAACTTCCAGCCCTGGCCCCCAACCTCTGGGGAGAGGAGAGGGCCTGGAGATTGAGTTAATAATTGATCATGCCTATGTGATGAAGCCTCCATAAAAATCCCTAAACTATGGGGTTCATAGACTTTCGGGTTGGTAAACACATCCACATTCCGCAAGGGTGGTGCACTCCAACTCCATGAAGACAGGAGCTCCTGTGCTCAGGATCCTTCTAGACTTTGCCCTATGTACCTCTTCATCTAGCTATTCATCTGTATTATCATATCCTGTATTATATAATAAACCAATAAACACAAGTAAGCATTTCCCTCAGTTCTATGAGCCATTCTAGCAAACTATCAGATCTGAGGAGGGGGCCATGGGAAAATTCAATTTACAGCTGGTCAGACAAGACAGGAGGCCCAGACTTGCGATTGGCATCTGAAGTGGGGGCAGTCTTGTGAGACTGAGTCCTTAACCTCTGGGATCTGACGCTGTCTCTGGGATAGCGTCAGAATTGAGTTGAACTGTAGGACACCCAGCTGGTGTCAGAGAATTGGTCAGTGTGGGAAAACCCCACACATTTGGTATCACAAGTGTTGTGAGTAGAATGTATAGAAAAACAATTGTTTATCTTTAAACAGCACCGACTAGGGCCCCCACTAGCCCATCTAGTAACTTCATGAAAATTAAAGGAAGGGGAAAAAATTAGAGGAAGGGCCCCTTCCTCCAGGAGGCAGCAGCCCTGCACAGGTGAGCAAAGCAGAGGTTCGACTCCAGCCCCCAGTTACCCCCTTGGCCAGGCCTGCCCTGTGCAACGGGCTTGGTGCCTGAGGCGCGGCTACGTGCTGCCAAAATAACGTGGACCAGACCTGTCAGGGCTTCTTAGAACCACAGAGGTCCAAAGCTGGCCTGGGATCACCTAGAATCATCATCATCATGGTACTTGTAGCTGCCATTTATGAAATGCTTATTATATGTCAAGTACACTGCTAAACATTTAATCTGCATCATCTCATTTCAACACTCAAAAGGCCCACAGAGAAGCAGGGGCTATCATCACCCTCATTGTACAGGTGAGGAAACTGAGACTTTAAATACTCTAAACTCCTTACTTTCAGGTAGAGAGAATATAGTGGCAGGTGATTTGCCCCCCGGTCTCATGGCTAACCAAGTCGGGATTTGGACCCAGCTCTTCTGAGTTCAACTGCCCCATCACTAGCCACTGCCCTGCAAGGGCTTATGGGAGGTGGAGAAGACACTAGCTTTGTGACCCTGGGCAAGTTGCTTAACCTCTCTGTATCACAGTGTCCTTGTCGATAAGGTGGGATAATGAATAGTTCCCCCTTCGTAGGGTCGTTGGCAGTGCCTAGACGAGTGTGTGGCACACAGTAAATGCTCAGTAAGCGCTAGCTCTCCTTATCATTCTGGAACTCAGTCCCGGAAAATGGTGGGGGGAAGTGGTGAAGAAAAAGAGGCAGAAATCAGGCTTCATGGTAGGTTTGGTGGCTCTGTGGTTTTTAGTTTTTTATTTGTTTTTACCGTTTCTCTACTCTTGACTGGCCGTGTGATCTTAGAAGTGTGACTGAGGGTGGGATCTGAGCACTGAAACCAGACACACTCCACTTCTTGCTGTTCCCTTTGCCTGGAATGTTCTTTCCTCAGACAGCCTCCTGTCTTGCTGCCCCACCTCCGTTAAGCCTAGACTCAAAAGTCACCTTCTCCTGGAGGCCTTCCCTGGCCACACCCTATCTCCCCAAACTTCCTATCCCTCTCCCCGATTTTTTCTCCCTGACACTTGGTAAACCCATTGCTCATTTATCTCTAGAATGTAACCTCCAAAGGAGGGGGAGATTTTGTTTGCTTTGTTTACTGCGATCTCCAGTGCTTAGAACAGTGCCTGAGACATAATGGGGGATTAAAAAAATTTGGTGAATGAATGGAGCTGCCTTCTTCAACTGCCTATCCTCAGGAAGGAAGCCATTCTCAGTGTTGGACCGAAGTGGCTGGGACCCGGGGATGATAAGCATAACTTGACCACTTCTGGGGCATCACACTTTGCCTAATACGCTTCCAGGGCTTGACATGCATTATCTCATTTAATGACGTCCTCAAAGTGGCCACCTACAGTCAGTGTTTATATTATCCCAGTCTTACAGATGAGGAAACTGAGGCTCATAGAAGGATATACCTTGCTCAAAGTCACACAGCTTGTGAGCAGCAGAGTCAAAATTCAAATCCAGGCCTGTGTGAACCCAGATGCTGAGTCTTTTCCTCTCCACACCGCCGGACTGTCCCCTGATGGGGCCTATGGCCAGCCAGCGGTTACAGAAATCACCACGCGAGGTCTCCGCACTAGGTGCAAACTGTGTCGTGTCTGACTCCGCCCTTTCCCTCGCTCCCCACATCTAGCGGTCACCAAGTCTGGTCGAATCTGCAGCCCAGCTTGGGAATGGCTCTGGAAGCCTTCCCTTCAACCCGCCTCTGGCCCCTACACTAGCTCAGGGCCTTGTTAACACTCACAGGGTCCAAGGCCATGGCCTCAGCCATTCCCCTGCCTCCAGGCTTACCTTCCACCATCCAGCCTTCCTCTCACTGAGGGCCAGCTTCCCCAGGGCAGCTCAGGTGGTATCACTCCTGGGCTCAGAAACCTTCACTGGTCCCCACTCACTCCAGAATAAAGTTCGAATTCCTCAGCCAGCCATTCAAGAGTCTAGCTCCAATCTTCCTTTCTAGTCTTGCCTGGTGTCAGCCTCCCTTCAAGCACCCGGTGTGCTCTTGAACCTCATGTGTCCCACACCCCCATGCCTTTGCCTATCCTGGTTCTCCTGCCAGAAACGCAACCTTTCCCCAACCTCTTCCCCAAATCCCTCCAAAGCGTGAAAATCTAATTCAAATGTCACCTCCCTCTTGGCCCTCCCTGACCCACAGGGCAAGGACAAGCTCTCCTTCGCCTGGCTCATCAACATTTGGTGCCCCGATGGCCACCACTCAGCAGCAGATATTAGGTTCTCACTCCCTAGGCTGGGACGCCCTGAGTCACTGTCTGAGCACACTGGTCTTCTAAAATAGCCGGGCGCAGGTGCTAAGTTCTGCAGAGATTGGGGAGAAGTGTGTGTGTGTGCGTGTGTATGTAGTGGAGGTGCACAGAAAGCTTCAGAAGGGCAGCAGAGGACAGTATATAAGGGCACAGGATCTGGAACCTGACTGCCTGGGTTCAAATCCAGCTTTACCTCTTACTAGCTAAGTGGCTTTGGGCAAATTATTTCTCTGGGCCTCAGCTGTCTCGTCTGAAAAAGAGAAGTAATGAGAACATCTACTTCCACAGGGCGTTGCGAAGACTAAATGAGTGATCATATGTAAAAGCACTGAGAATAGTGCCTGGTACATAGCAAGTGCTAATGAGTGTTTACTGCTATTGTTATTAGCCAAGCCCTGAGACGGGGCTCCGTGCTGGTAGAGGGCTAACAGTGGCTGGCACAGGCATAGCCCCCAACTGTAGCTACTTTCCAGGTACACTTCCCATGTGGTACTTACTTACTACCCTGTTGGAAGATAGGCAAGGCATGTAATTAGCCCCATTTTACAGATGAGGAACTGAGGCTCACTCAGGGCAAGCGCCAGTGAGGAAGTGGGAGGGCCAGAACTCCTCAGTTCTAGTCTAGGCCTCCTTCCCCTCCACCAGGCCGTTGTGCACCTGTTGTGCAGGCCTCACCCAGCAGCCAGCACCCCTCAAGCAGGAGGGCCCCACCATAGTGCCCTCTCCGCCCCCCATGCATATCTGCCCTTCCAGCCAGGCCATGCGCAGTCCACAGTGGCATGCACACTTGGAGCACGCATACCACTCACCCCTACATGCACACACACATCTACAAAACAGCCCAGGCCCCAAAGGTGAGGAAAACCTGTTCTGAGGAATCTGCCTAGTGAGCGAATTCTGTTCCCAGACCCTTCCACAGTTGCAGGAGCGGCCCAGTGTGCGTCACAGAAGAGACGGAAAAGCAGAGATACCCGTAAGGGGGGCAGAGAGAGGGTGAAGCAGGAGGAGGAGACTGAAAACTTCGTGTTTCTTTTTTCCATTTCAGTGACAAGAGTCACACCCGGCCTTTACGTAAACATGGCCAAGGAGCCAGTCTGTCCAAGCTCAGTTTCCTTGCAGCCGCCAGGCCTCTCCTCCCGGTGACCCTGACATGCTGGGCAGGCCGGTGAGGGGCAAGCACACAGACCCTGCACAAAGACTAGCTGGGCCACCACGACAACACCCAGGCCTCCCGCCGGCTGCCCTTGCTCTGCCCCATATTTATCTCTCTGCCTTCTTCATAACATATCCCCACAGCAGCCCCACACGGCCACTTAAACACACAGAAGGCAGGCACGCACACACAGCTTGCGCGGATCTCCAGTCTGAGGCCCACATTGCCCTTGTCACGCCACCTCCCTCCCCACAAGTGTTTTCTGACCAGCTCGCCTCCCAGCCCAACAGCACGGACAGGCTCCCACAAACAACGTCACAAAAGAATCCTGTAGAGAATGTTGCAAACACACAACCTTTCCCTGGCTCAGCTGCCCACGATCCCATAAACACAACCTGCACATTCCACCCAGAGCCCCTCACACCAGTGCCAGCTGCCATACAAGTACCTGAGACACACCCTGGGGCTTCTCGCTTCCCATATGATCCAAGGGACCTGAGTTCTAGATGTGCACCCCCCAATGCAACTCACTCCTCCCACAGATACACAAACCCACCTAGCGGGCCATCCTCACCAAGACTGGACCACAACTCAGCAGGGCCACAGAAATGGGATCCAGACGTGACACCTTCCCACTCAAAGGTACACAACTGCCCCCTCCACATGGGTACACACACTCTGCACTCTGGTACCCTCCACAGCACTTACACCACGCCAGCTATGCAGAAAACAACAGTTCATAAATAGTTCATATGTGCAGCATGAGAAACATAACGTGCAACAAAACACATGCTGGTATAAAACATACATAAAACCCCACATCTAACAAACTCAGCATGTATTGCACCCTGCTTCGACTGCAGACCTGTCACCCAAAGCCACAGGGCCACATCTTGTAATTCTGCCCCACAACATTGGACACCCCTCCATCTGGCTTTCTGTCCCCATGGCCCAGGGAGGGCCTTACCCGGACCCCTGGCTGCCAGACCAGCAAACAGTGGTGCCCAGGAGAGGTTTACCTTGCCCCACAACACAGCAGGAGACACACAATCTCCAGGACTCACAGCCACAACCCTGCCCCGACGGCGCGGCGGCTCCGGGGCCCCTGCTCGCCCTGCGCACCCCGCACACCCCAACTGTGGGGCGCTCGGCGGCCCACCCCTCCCCCTCTCTGCCTGGCTCCTACGCCATCGCCCTCCCAGCAGCTTGCAGCGCCGGCCCAGGCTCACACCCGCCCCGCCCCACCCCCAACCTGCCCTACAAGGGGAGGGGGACATTAGGCTGCAGAATTAACCCTTCAAATGGGGAGTGAGCGCGGCCCCTTCCACGGCCACAGGCGATCGCGCCCCCCGACCACTGCTCGGTCTGACGCCGTACTAGGGCCCCCTTAGCCGCCCCCCAGCGCCGTGCGCGCTTGGGGGCGGGGCCAGACTCAGCCCCCGACCCCGGAGCCCCCAGGTCAACCTCAAAGGGGAGCGGTCCGGCGCGGGGCGCGGCCCGGGCCCCCGCGGCGCCGGGCAGCGGGAAGGGGCCCCGGCCGTTGGCTCCGGTCCTCCCTGGCCCTGCCCGGTTCGCCCCGGGGCCCACCTGACTGCGATGGCGCCGCGTCCGCCAGGCCCGGCTCATCACCGTGGCCGCCCCCGGCCGCTCCGGTTTCGCCCGCCTCCAGCTCCGGCTCCGGCTCCGGCCCCGGCTCCGGCTCCGGCCCCGGCCCCGGCCCACCCAGCGCCCGGCCCCGGCCCGGCCCCGCCGCCGCCGCCGCCGCCGCCGCCGCCGCCGCCGCCGCCGAGAGGAGGCCGGCGCAGCGCAGCCGATACCGACACCAAGCTCTGGGCTTGGGCTTGGGGCGAGCGCGCCCGACGGCCTTCGCTCCCGGGAAGGGAGCGGCGCCGCGCAGGGCCGCCAGACGGGTGGGCACCGAGCGGGGCGCGGGCCTGGCTGCCGCACCCTCGCAGGTCCGCACGACCACCCACTCTCTAAGAAGGGAACCCCCCCCCCACCGCCCCCTGCACGTCCTTCACTCAGCAGTGCACACAGCCCAGAGCACGCACACCCTCTCCGGGCGCAGACACGCAACATGGCAGGCTCACAATCAGGCCCAGTGGGACCGGCAGACCCAGGCTCAGCACACTCACAGGGCAGCCCTGGACACACACACATACACGCACACCCTCCCCAGAAATGCACAGGGACCCCCACCAGGCCGCGGGCCAGGAAGGCCCCAGCCCTACGGAACAGGCACAAATAATGACTACCAGCGCAGATGCATACGCAGCTTGGTATTTTGTCCCCACCGGCAGAAATATCCACGTCTATATACTTGTGCGTAAATGCAGAGGCCTTGGTGTGGGCCTCCTGGGACAGCACCAACAAAACACCAGGTGGAAGCACACACAGAAGCAGCACATTCCTGAAACTCCAGAGGGACAGTCTCAGAGACTCCTCCCTGGTGTTCAAAAATTCAAAATTCAGGAGACAGAGGAGCCGGCCCTCAGAGCTCCTTTCAGTAAAACCTTTCTGAAACAAGGGGAGACACAAATAAATTAATTTAAAACCAAAGAAGTCTCATCACAGAGTAGTTGTGAAGAGAAAAAAAAAGAATCTGACAAACTTTGGAGTCAAAGACATAGATATAAAGCAAGCAGAGTTGGAAACAATGAGAAAATAGGCCCACCTCCACCTCAGGGAGGTTCCAAGGAGGAATCTCCCACCCCCACCCACCTCAGGAAGGTTCCAGGGAAGAACCCCATCCCCACTCCAACCAGGTCACAATGGTTGGAGCTCTGATGGATCCAGGCCCCCTGAGCCAGGAGTAGCAGGAGAAAGTCCAAGGAGAGATGGTGAGTGTGGAGGGCAGGGGCGCATAGGCCCCCTCCCTGTAGCTTCTGGCTGCTGCCTTTCCCTCCCTCCCCTAAAACTTCCCAGCTGTCCTACAGACACCCACAAATGAAATTCACAATGGTGTACCCAGACTCTCTGGAACCTGTGACATCACACAGATACACAGCATCTGAGGCCGCCTCCCCTTCCTCAAACCAACAGAGCATCCCTGGGTCCTCTTTCTCTCCTCCCAGGAACAATTTACCCAGAGAAACAGTGCTCCAGGACCGCTTACTCCCTGCTTCCTGCTTTAGAGGCTCAAGGCCCACATTGTACCACGTCATCCATTTTTCAGGCCCTTTCTAGCTCCCGAGAGTTCCTCAGTAAGACAGCCTGCCCCTCTACTCTCCCTCAGGGTCCCAGCCCCCAGCCTGGCATTCGCCTTGCCCCAGACCCTCCAGGCTATGGCTGCCCTAATGCCTGAGCTCCTTTCTCCCTAACAGGCTGGCAGTCACCCCTACTTCAACCTGCCTGACTTCACCCAGCCATCGCCGCCCTCCACTCCGTCCAGCCTCCCCTCACACCAGCGCTGCCGGCCCTCCAATGCCACCAAGGGCCTGCTCGTGGCCCTGCTGGGTGGGGGCCTGCCCGCTGGCTTCGTGGGCCCCTTCTCCCGTATGGCTTACCAGGCTTCCCACTTACCCTCGCTGGAGCTGCTCATCTGTCGATGCCTCTTCCACCTCCCCATTGCCTTGCTACTTAAACTGCGTGGCGACCCACTGTTGGGACCTCCGGATGTCCGGGGCCGGGCCTGCCTCCACGCCCTGCTCAACGTCCTCAGCATTGGATGCGCCTACAGTGCGGTTCAGGTGGTGCCTGCTGGCAACGCTGCCACTGTCCGCAAAGGTTCTTCCACCGTCTGCTCTGCCCTCCTTGCCCTCTGCCTTGAGAGCCAGGGTCTCAGCGGCTATGATTGGTGTGGCCTGTTGGGCAGCACCCTGGGACTAATCATCATTGTGGGACCTGGACTAGGGACACTGCAGGAGGGGACCACGGGCCTCTACACCGCCCTGGGCTATGTGCTCGCTTTCCTGAGTGGCCTGGCACTGTCGCTGGGGCTTCTGGTGTATCGCTCCCTGGACTTCCCCTCCTGCCTACCAACAGTGGCCTTCCTGTTTGGCTTGGTGGGGCTAGCAGGCTCTGTGCCAGGCCTCTTTGTGCTGCAGACCCCCGTGCTGCCCAATGATCTTCTGAGTTGGAGCTGTGTGGGGGCAGTGGGGATCCTCGCCCTGGTCTCCTTTGTGTGTGTGAGCTATGCGGTCACCAAGGCCCACCCTGCCTTGGTGTGTGCTGTCCTGCACTCTGAGGTGGTGGTGGCCCTGATGCTGCAGTATTATGTGCTCTATGAGAATGTGGCACCTTCTGACATCATGGGGGCAGGGGTGGTGTTGGGCAGCATTGCCATCATCACTGCCCAGAACCTCAGCTGTGAGAGGGAAGGGCAGGTGGTGGAGTGAGATCAAACTTGAGAGCCTGGGGGTTGGGGGGGCAGGGGTAAACAGAAGGAGAGACTGGAATACAAACATAGAACAAGTGACTGGAAAAGAACTGGTGTGGGAGAGGGACACCCCTTGGAGTCAAGGGTGACTTGGGGACGTGCTGGAGAGGGACTGCCTGGAAGACCCAGAACAAGCCTGGGGACCAAGAGATGTGGAATCTAGGCTGGGGCTTGGAGATCAGGGCGTAACTAAGGGGTAAGGTCTGACGAGCACATCAAAGGGGCTGAGGCAGGCAGGCCATGAGCCATGGGGAGGATTTTTCCCTCAGAAGCAGAGAAGAGCATTGGGGCTGGAGTGTTTGGGGCTTGCAGGCAAACAGAGCAAGCAGCTGTGCTGGGGGAAGGGAGTGTGCCTTTTTTCCCTGAGCGTCCGTTTCCCTTCCTGGTGGTGACGTGACATTGACATCAAACAAGGATCACTCTGAATGTGGCTGTGCAGTTGGTGTCATCTCTGCTTTGGAAGGAGAGTGGAAGTCCTACCCCACTCTTATTGGAGAATCCCTTGGGATCCCCGCTCCCCATCTTATTTCTGAAATATTCTGGGGGGGGGATTTCCTAATGTTCAGACGCCTTGACCCCGAATCCCACAGGACTTCTGTGTCCCGTCCCAAGGCTAATCTGCTTTTCCCGGATTGTCGCGGTCCCATGATCTCTCCCGGACAGCGACCAGCCTCCTTCTGGAGCAGGTCTCCGAGCTGAGGCCTCTTCGAGCGGCTCAGGCCGGGGACCCAGGACCAGAGCTCCGTACAGCGCTCCATTAGAGGCCAGGAGATGCCCACCCGTCCCAGGAGGCCGCTCAATAAATATCAGCTACTTCCGGGCAAGCAATTGGCCTCGCCATCTTGATCTGTTCATGCATATTCAGCACGATTACTGCATATTCATGACCAAGGACGGCCCCAGCACTCCCGCCTCCGGGAACCCACTTGGGAGGACCCGGCTGGCCCCGCCTCTTTCATTACCGATTCGCAGAACAGACCATTTTCCAGCGGTGGGGGAGGATATTAATGAGAGACTTCTGCTGAAGACGAAACCATACTCCAAACTAGAGTAAAAGAGGCCTATATTTACCCTCCATCCTTCAAACCTTAAATTTCAGTGCGAGAGAGAGCAGAGAGGGGAGGCGGCGGGATAAAATGTTCCCCTCCCCCCTGTCATTTCAAAAGGTCGCCCAGAGAGGGAGCGAGAGAGCGAGGATCAACGACTTGGGCGCACGCCCCGTGCAGGCCGGTGCAGGCGGCCCCGTAGCGCAAGGGAGGGCGGGAAAGGAAGGGGCGGGTACGCAGGGGCGAGTCTATAAAGGGCGTCATTCGGTCAGTTCTCTCCTCAGAAGCGCCGAGAGCGCGGCCGGGACGGTTGGAGAAGAAGGCGGCTCCCGGAAGGGGGAGAGACAAACTGCCGTAACCTCTGCCGTTCAGGAGCCCGGTTACTTATTTATTCGTTACCCTTTTTCTTCTTCCTCCCCTCAGGATCTTTTCCTTCCCCCCCCCTCTTTTTTTTTCCTTTTTAGGAGACGAAAAATCTCCGGAAAGGGGGAAGAGAGCTCCTTTCGCTCTTTTTCGTTTCCCCGCCTCCTTCCCTCCCCCACCTTTCCCTCCTCCGGCTTTTTCTTCCCTACTCGGGGAGGTCCTTCTCGGTGGCCGCCCCGACGGGGTCTGAGCACCTAGGCGGAGGCGGCGCAGGGTTTTTGTAGTGAGGTTTGCGCCTGCGCAGCGCGCCTGCCTCCGCGATGCATGGAGGCGGCCCCCCCTCCGGGGACAGCGCATGCCCGCTGCGCACCATCAAGAGAGTGCAGTTCGGAGTCCTCAGTCCGGATGAACTGGTAAGCGGCTCTGCCCTTCGACTCCTCCTCCCTCCCGCGCCGCGGGCGGGGCTTGACGGTGGCTGCGGAAACTTGGTGCTTCTCGCTGCGTAAGAGTCCCCGGCAGGGAGGGTGGGTTAGCGGCGCCGACGCAGTGTGGGGGTCCAGCCTCGCGTCCTCCCACAGTTAAATTTTGCTAGGATGTGAGCAGGCTGAGCGCTGTGTCCGGGAGGGGGGCCTGGCCACAGAAGGGGCTGGTGAGTAGGGTGACTGGCTCCACACGTCAGAGTTACCGACGTTAAACGAGGTGAGACGAATCCTAGGGGGCCTTTCAGCTTTGGATAAGAGGACGAGCCCCAGATATTTTTCCTCCCCCTTCTACAAATATTAATTGAGCACTTGCTATGTGATAGAACAGACGCTGGGGATACAGAGCTGAACAAGACAGACAAGGACCTGCCTTCTGTGGGAAGGGGCAGGGGAGACAGACACTAAACATATGGATAAATGAATAAACAAGATAATTCAGTTAATAGCAAGTGCCCTGAATAAAGTGAAACGGTGTAAGGCGATGGACGTCACTGAGGTGAGGCTTCTTTAGATGGAGTGGTGTTAGGGTTTGGGAAGGCCTGTCTGAGGAGGTGACATTACTTGAAAATCATCTAGGCCATAAATTCTAGGTCAAGAGCTTTTCAGGCAGAGGAAGCAGCAAATGCAAAGAGCCTGAGAGAGGAAGGAACTTGGTGTGTTCCAGGCGCTGAAAGAAGGCCAGCGTGGCTGGGGTTTAGTGGCTGAGAAGGAGAGTATTACCAAAATGGGCAGAGGAAGCATCAGGTGGGGCATGCCAGGTGGGATATTGTAAATCATGATAAAGAATAGAAAATAGAATATTCTATTTTCAGTAGGAAGCCATTGGAGAATTATAAGCAGGAGAGGGACATCAAGTTTACATTAAAAGAGAAAACAAAACCTACTCCTTTGTTTGTCCTGTGAAGATCTGATTGGGGAGGAGGGCTAAGAATGGAAGTGGGAGAGACCAGGGAGGAGAGTGGCTCTAGGGGAGAGCTGTGGGTGACTTGGACTCCTTCCTTTGTGGAGCGAACTGGTTGGAGAGAATGGAGTTGAATGGCTGTGTTTGTGGATGGAGGCAGTCGCTGGAAGAGAAGGCTCAGGTGTGTGAAAGTTGTGTCAGGAGTTAGAACTTCCTGAACTCACACCATACCACAGAATAAATTCCAAATGGAGTTAAGATTTAAACCTAAAAAACAAAATGTAAAGCACCAGAAAAATACAGAAGGCTTTTAAGGTGCTGATACTAGGGGCAGAACCCTTAATAGTAATGAGTTAATTGTAGGTAAATTTTATCAAGTCCCTATTATGTGATAGGCACTGAGCTAAGCATTTTAAATACAAGAGCAGATTTTAAAGAAAGGAAGGGCAAATTTCACGAGCACTTCTGTTTATCAGAGACACCATGGACAGCTGAAAAACAGATTGGGAAACAACGTTTGCAATGTGATGGACAAGGTTAGATTTCTTTTTTTTTTTGTGAGGAAGATCGGCCCTGAGCTAACATCTGCCAATCCTCTTTTTTTGCTGAGGAAGACTGGCCCTGGGCTAACATCTGTGCCCATCTTCCTCCGTCTTCCCACATCTTCCTCCACTTTATGTGGGACGCCGCCACAGCATGGCCTGATAAGCGGTGCAACGGTGCGCGCCCGGGATCTGAACCAGCGAACCCCGGGCTGGCGCAGCGGAGCACGCACACTTAACTGCTTGCACCACCGGGCAGGCCCTGGATTTCTTAATATACAAGGAACACTTACAAATTGGGAAGGAGAGCACACATCTAGACAAAGGGATGAAAGATCCGAATAGGCAGTTCACAGAAGTAGTACAAATGGCCAATAAAAAATATTCAGCTTGCTAACAAAAACGTGCAAATTAAATAAAATTTTTTCCCTTATCTGATTTTTCCCTGCTGGCAAAAATATTGGGAAATAGGCATGCTTATGCATTGTTGTAGGAGGATAAATTGGTATAACCTTTTTGGAGGACAATCGGACAATTTAATCAGTCATTTAATATGCATATTCCTTGGCCCAGCATTACCACTTCTCAAAATTTATCCTTAAATAAGAAACTCTTAATTAGTTCCTCTCGAACTTGCCCCTCCTCTAAGTCTTGCCTAGTTCATTGAGCAAGCATTGCCTCCACTGTTCATCCAGTTGCTCAGGCTAAAAACTAAAAAGCCATCTTTGATTCTTCTCTTTCTCACAACCTCCACTCAGTCTATCTGCCACTGTCAGTTGTACCTTTCAAAATATATCTGGAATCCAGCCATTTATGACCATCTCCATCTCTACTGCCACGTTCCATTCCCCCATCATCTTTCCTATGGAGTACTGCAGCGCCCAGTTGTTCCTCCTGCAGTTTGCAGGGCAGCTAGAGAGATCTTTTTATCATGTCTCTTCCTGCATGGAATTCCTTCCAAAGGATCCCAACTCCTTACTCTGACGTATGAGGTCCTTTATTATCTGGCCCCTGCTTGCCTCCCCATCTCATCACCAATCTCCTCTTTGCTCTTCTTTAACCACACTGACCTGCTTGTTCCTCCAACACTGCAAGCTCATTCCTGCCTCGAGGACTTTATTATTCACTATTCCTGCTGCTTAGAACAACATTGCTTGGGTCTGCTCCTTTAAGTCAGTATGTTCTCTGCTCCGATGTCATGTCATTAGGAGCACTTCCCTGACCACTCTGTAAAGTAGCATCGCATTCTCTAAGCCTTAGTCTTGATTTAATTTTACTTCATAGCCTGTCACTACCTGAAAGGATTAGTTTTTGGTTACCTCAATAGAAGGTAAATTGCATGAGGGACTTGGTGTTCACCTCTTTTCCTTCAGCCTCTCAAATAGTGCCTGGCACATAATAGGCATGTAATACAAGTTAATTGAATAAATGAGTGAATAAAATATTGGGGAAGGATTTTTATTACAACATTGTTTGAAAATGATAATTATAAATCGCCTGAATATTTACTAGTGGTTGCTATTGGGTAATCCAGTGTCTTTTCTTATAATAGAATAAGACCTTCCCTGTATATTAAAGCCCCTGTTCCCAAACTGCTGAGGCACTGCAGCAAACTCACAGGGGCCCAGTGAGAGGTTTTAAATTTTCAAGAGAAGCACAGAAACAGCAACATTTGATGCCCTGGGAACTCTTAGTTCCAGGTAGTTCCCTTTCAGCATTAGATGGCGCCAAATCCCTTTCGATGACGTCATGTCTTTGTAAAGCTGGGTTTTTAGCAGTTGCTAAATACTGGGTAAAAATCAGTGTAGAGCAAGAAATAAGGGTGGTGATGTCCAATCTGATTCCAAGATTTGAGAAGTTGTGCAGTGCCCAACAGGTGTCGTAGGTAAATAATTGTGGTTATTTGGGAAATAAATTAAACTATTTTTATTTTAATATATTAAAATATTTTTCTCAGTTTATATGTGTTATTTTTTCAAATGGCTATTGAGTTGCTAGGACATAAATGCTTATTAAATTGTTTGGATCTAGGTACCTAATAAGTGTGGGC